CTTGGATCCTCTATGGTTCCACAAGGCAGTGTTTTAATGTTTTAAAAAGTGCAACAAATGTTCTTGAAGTGAGGTGGAAAGCTACCCAGAATGTAAAAATTGTTGGCTAATAGTTGAATCAAATTAACTTGGTGGTTTCCCATGCTTGTCATAAGCTGGTTAGCATTGAGGGGAACTAGAAAACTTGATTACTTAAAGTAATTTGATAGATAAAAAATTCTTCGCAACATTAGACTTGGAGGGGGATAACAAAAGCAAAGGTGGGAGTGCAGAGGAATGGGGAAAAAAATAAGAACCAAGATATATCATGTAAAGGTACAAATCCCCAATGATGAATGCCATTATATTGTATACCTAAAATGTACCAATAAAATTAATGGAAAAAAAAAAGCAAAGGGTGGAATCTTTGGTATTATAAAAGTCAGAAACTACAGTATTTTCTGACTCAGAGTATTTTATTTTTGTGGATATAGTTTTTAAAGCATTTCAATTGGAATTTCCCAATCCTGAGGTTCTTTTGGAAAAAGGGCATTTTAGCCAGTTGGTTTGGGTAGGGCCTAGCGAAGACACATTTTTAAAAACTCCTGGTACTCTGCTGTAAAAAGTTAAGAATGACAGAATTGGTAACCTGGAATGAATGGAGAATCTTATGTAAGGGAATTTTCTCCTGAATTTTGGAAGCCACTGACTAAAAATTGTAATTGTTTTCCATTAAAAAAAAAACAGTATAGATTGCTGACTAAAAGTCCCTTGTAGCTATGGAGGCAAATTTAAGAGAAATATTCTAAATGAAAACAGTGATATCTCCAATCACTGACCTGTGACTTTTGTCACAGTGAGCTTTCTGGTGACACAAACCAGCTCGGCTTCCATGCGGAACAGGCCAGGGGCGCAGCAGAGTTGTATCATTTGAGGCAGCAGGACTAAAGACCATCAGCAGGCAAAAGGAAAGACTAGTAGCTTCTCACCCTTCTAGGCAGGCAACTCCAAGACCTTCTCCAAAGCCCCAACAGAAATGACTGACTGGTTTGTGCAAGACACACTGAGTTATACCTAAGTATTAGTAGAATTTATACAAAGTAGAAGGTACAAGGAAATTGTACAAGGTAAAGATATACAATGATACCAAAGAGAAGGAAAGTAAGAAGTAAAGAAAAGACAGAGGCACGAGTTAGGCCCAGGATGGCAGAAGTGTCTGAGAGGGTGAGGGTAACATAGAGTTCCCACATTCTTTGTACCCAACCCTCAAGAACACTTTGTAGATGTGCATAACTCTGTAGTGTGCACATCTAAGTGTGCATTACTCTGTAGTGTGCATTTGAAGTTTAATCCCAGGGTTCACTTTCTCAGTGTCCAGTTGTTTGATGCAGCAGGACTCTTCAAATACTGTGAAGCACTTACTAGAATTTCGTATTTCACTCCTTGTGTGGTATAATTTTCCACCTTCTACAGACAAATCTATATTTACTGGTAATTTGAAATATCACAGGCTGTGATCAGGTGAGAGAATGCTTGGTCAGACCACTGAGCAGCTGGACTGCTCTTTTTCTCTTTTCTTGTTTCTACTTTTCTAAATCAGTTACATTGGCAATGACAGAAAGAAATGTTTTCAGGATAGAATAGAAGACTATCATTCCAGAGGGAAAAGCAAACTTTGTGCATAAGGCCAATGGCTCCAGGGCATAATTTCAAACACAATGATTCAGGGACTCTGGGTGCAGGAGAACAAAGGACCCAGTGCAGGACCATCTCCTTTACCCATCCCAGGTGGGAAGCAGAGCCCTTCTGTCTTGGCTGATGTGGAGCTTCTGAGACAGGCTGATCAGAGTCAAGAGTCCTAACTCTGTCCTGTAGGATTACAGTGTTATACTCTTCTTAAGCAAAAGAATATATACAAAACATCAACTGCGGATCCCATAGAGAAAGAAGGTTTTTAGAGTTTTCCAATAGAGAAATATAAGAAAATACTGCTGTCCCTTCATAAATGGATAATAGTAAGGAACACAGAGCTCAGTTAATCAAAACAGGAAGTCATGAAATACTGAATGTTGATGTTCCTCACTTCTAGTGTTAGGGAAAATTGAGAGATTCACTCCATTGATCTCCCCTTATCCCCTTTTTTGTGAGGAGGCATTTGAAACCAAATGACAGAAAACAAAAGTAACAGTTTTAAGAAACAAAAGGAAAAGTCCTGACTCATAGAATCAACAAATTTGGGATTAGGATTTGCTTGTACATCCCTGGTTCGTATTAGAGGCTAAAGTGATGCCCTTGAGATTCTGTCTCCTTCTATTTCTCAGCTCTATTCTTTCGTGACTTTTCATTCTTGGGCTCCAAGTAGTGGGAGCACATCACCCAGCAAATTCAAAGTCTTCCCAGGTCCAAGTGCAGCTGAAAAGGGCTACCTCTTTCAGAATAGTCTTATAAAACTCCTGCTATTCCTTGTTGGCTTTCCATTCACATATGATCAGAATTTTTAAAATACAGTTTCCTCTAGAAATGTTTTTATAATATAAACTTATGTGAAAAAAGCAGAAATAACATATTTTCTTCAAAATCTCAATCAATTGCACTTTTCATTGGTAATCAAAAATTCTTCATTAAATTGAACACAAAATAGAAATAAGAAACAATATCTAAAAATCCCAATTGTTTGTTATCTCTCACCCCCAACAGAAAACATGTAATCCATTGCACCTGTATCTCAGTTCAGAAGCTTAATCCATTCTGTGATTCTGGTCACAAACCAAATTGAATGAGAACTGAATCAAATTCAGTGGTTAGCTCCAACATTGACCTTATAGACAAATATTGATGTGCTTTTCACCCAATTCAGTTTGAGAATAGAATTGTGGAAAGAATTAAGTTTGTGAAAGAAGGAACCACTATATACAGTGCAACAAATTTTCAGGCTATCAGACTATAAAACCCTTTTTCCAACTATTATTACCACCTGTTGGGAATAAACTTTCATGTATAAAAAAACAATAATGGTATCAAAATCCACAATTAATAGAGAGGGAGAAAATCTAGGGAAAGAGGGTTTGAGCAAAACTGTAATTCCTGTAACATTCCTGCTTACCTCTGTAAACCAAGAGAAGCCACTCTGGTATTATGGTGCCCAATGTGGTACATTAATCAGGCAATACAGCTAACCTGGCCCTGTCAAGTGAACGCATTGCCTATCTCAGTGAAAAAACCTCCAAAATGAAAAAAGATTATTTCTGGAAGAGGTCACAATAATTACTGTCATGCAGATCTAAAATGAGCATTGTCATAGGTTTATTTAACCCACTAATTAATGACAAAATCAGTTAATGTGTCAACTGGTTCAAAACAGAATCCAAAGTACCACACATGTAGAGAGACAAGAAGTACTGAAATTAATTCACAGGAACATATAAAATGCTTCTGCCCAAAAATTAATAAGCAATTGCATGCTACTGGACACAACTGATTTTTCTGTCTATGGATAATAATTCGCACTATTGTCAGGTTTACAAAACTCCCTAAGAAGTAAAATACTCCAAAATTATAAAAAATAGAAATCACCCAGAAATGATTTAATACTCAGGAAAGTATTCTATTTCCAAGTCTTTTATAATACCTTATGTCACTTCAATATGCCTGCCTCAACCTGCATTCTATTTAGTAAAAGCCTATTTGACTATCATGTTGCTATATTCTTTTATGTTAAAGACAATGAAGGGATTTCTATCATTTTTTCAGTTCCACAGTATTTTTAATGAAATAATTCTTCTCATTTCTCTTTGAATTCTCTATCTAGAACTGAGCTACAAGGCCAGGCAGGTTGGATTAATATATTTTAGCCAATTATAACATACTCAATGGTGCCTTCTTTACTACAGTATAAGTGTTGAAATTATACACCTCTTTCTAAATATCTGTTAATGTCCAGTTGAAGATCCTCCTGATATCTCCATGTTTTGAAAAGTTGTTTATGAAATTTCATTCAAAGTTTTAGAGTGAAATTAATTACACTCTATGTTTGTGTTAAATTGTTCGTTGGTCACATCCAAATTATTTTATCCTTTCATTCATGGAATATT